ACATGTACACAGAGACATACACACATAGAAATGCACACATGTACACAGACATAGACATGCACACACACATGTACACAGAGACATACACACATAGACATGCACACACATACACAAACATAGACATGCACACACATGCACACACATAGACATGCACACACATCACATGTACACATAGACATGTACACACATGTACACACACATAGACATGCACACACAAAACACACATACACACAGATGTAGACACACCGACATACACACAAAACACATGCACACACACATAGACATGCACACATACACAGAAATAGACACACGCACAATAGACATGCACATACACGTACACGCACATAGACATGCACACATGTACACACATATAAATGCACACACATGTACACACACATAGACAAGTACACACACAGACATGCACACACACAGACATGCACACACAAACACACACGCACACACAAAACACATGTACACACAGACATGTAGACACACATAGATGTACACACAAAACGCATGCACACACACATAGACGTGCAGACACACAGACACATCAAACACAGGGGGACACACAGACATGCACACAGAGTCAAACACACACAGGCACACAGACAGGGCAGAGATACATGAGTCACCATGGGTTTGTTCAGAAACATGAGCAAATGACAGTGATGGGATCTCATAAGCGCTCAGGAGAAAAAATCAAAAGGCTTGTTTCGTAGAAAGATCTACAATCGCCAACCGTGGGGCTCCTTCAGTGTTTCTACACAGTGCTGTACGGCAAACACCTACACCCAGGGTGAGCGCGATTTGTGAGAAAGTATACAGTAAATCTCCTTACAGAGCGCGTGCAGTGCAGTCTTGGGTGAGCGTCTGCATCCTACCACGCCGCAAACCCGCCGGCTTCAGGGAGATCGCTGGCGTGACGGTTTTAGGCGAGGTGGGAGAGGGGGACCCCCGGAAATTAATCCCACCTCCCCCAATCTGTTAGCGATACGATCCAGGTTTGAACCTATGCCATCTGAGCAATTGGTACCACTTTGTCACCTGTGGCACCATACATTGGGACATCCCAGTCCCAGTCTATTAGTGGCATGGTCCAGACTCGAACCTGCACTAGCAGGGCAATTAATCCCACTACGGACACCTGTGGTGCTCTAACTTGGGAAATCCCAGTCCCAGTCTGCTAGTTCCAGGCTCAAACCTGCAGTGGACCACAGTGCTCAACCTGCGCCATACGTGTGGTGCTTTCTGACCTGCTGTGGTTGCCATAGAGCTGTATGACATAACAGTCTGAGCGGTTGGCGAAGACGTGCAGGAAGATGACCTCATACACCACCAGGGCCAGGGTCAGCAGGAGCAGCCTGAGTTCCAAGTTGACTCGCAAGAACACCACGCAGGAGAGCATGCTCAGTAAACAGCAATACAGGTAGTACTGAGAGAGGAGAGAGATGACGACATAAAGGAAGATGACTGAGATTTTGTTTCAATGTGTGAAAGACACAGTGCGCCTCTTACAGGGACAGTGTACTGTGTGTCAGTGTGTGAGGCTCTTACAGGGACAGTGTACTGTGTGTCAGTGTGTGAGGCTCTTACAGGGACAGTGTAC